TAACACATGTCCACTAAAGTGGGTGACTTGATCACTCTCAATCACCTGTGACAGGTCATAGGCTGCAAAGTGACAGTCTAGGACCCTTTTAGTGGTTTGCTGATCTGTATTACATGCAGGAAAAGCAACCAACAGTCTGGTAGCTGTGTCTACACAGGTCATGGCATACCAATACCCTTCGGACATGGGTGGAAGCCCAATATAGTTTATCTGCCACCTGACAAAGGGGGTATTGGCCCCTTTATTGTTGGCTCCTCTTGCTGGGTGACACAGTGTAAGTCCCTCTTAAAGCACTCCAGGCACTTCTTCTGGTCTCCACTGACTTCCTCAAAAGTCAATAGAAAGACCCACAAACAGCTATAGCCTACGTTGACTTTTGCCCCACAAGCAACAAATGTTGACATAACCATTGGGCTACATCAGAGGCAGGCTTTCCTTCTAGCCAGCACACCTGGGCCATGTGTCGGCTCATCATTCCCTGGGGGGATGCCAAAGGCAAATGGCCAGTCACATGATATATGGTAACAGTGTTAGTTTGACCAGAGACCTATAGGTCTTGCCACAACTCTTACCCACAAAGGGGTCAGTGACCAACCATCTACTTGGCATGGTACCAGGTTGGTAGCCACAGGTTGAATCCGATACAGTTTGACTGTCAGTGCAGACAGCTATTGGGGAAGGCTCCTGGGTGATCACAAGTCATACTGCCTGGAGCTCAGCCCATTGGCTGCTCTTCCCCTCTCCATCCTCCATCCATATTGTCTCAGTCTTAGGATGGAAGCCACAGCCCTCCACCTCAGGTACTGAAGGCGAAACCCGATGATACATTGGCTTGGATTTCCTGGCTTCAAGAAACCATCAAAAGTTTAATCAGAAATTCCTTATGAAAAGTTCAAGCAAAGCACATTTAAAAGAGCCTGATCATTCGCTGTTTTTGCTGCATTTATGTAAATAATCAAGCCAAGTGTTTTGAAGCTTAATATGGTTACCACTAATAAAAATGAGGGTGATTTTTAGAGAGAAAAGAAGTATGTTTCAATAGTATAGACTTATTGGTATTAGATTCTAATCCTAGTCATTGTGAAACAGACTGGACCCTGACTTCTGATTTCCTCAGAATACCTATGACTCCCCAAACATTTCCAAATTCCTCCCATCATTTCACTTGGAGGCTTCCTGCTCCCAGGCCTTATATTCGGCCATGCATTCTTCATCTCCGTACCAAGATTTTTCCCTCCAGAACAAATAATCTGACCCCAGATGCTGCTTGGACAGAGATTTCCACCGACTCCTCATGCTGATAAGGATGTACATTAGCAAACCCACAACCTAGCTGCACCCTCCTTTCGTGTGCTGTTGTCCATCCGAGCCACTGCGAAGACCTCTCCATGACCATGACGTCTTTGCCTGACAGGCAGCAAAGAAACTAATCGATAGAGTCTCTCAGATTCATCAGCAGCTTTCAGAATCATGGGAGATTTTAGTCCCACTTTAGACACTGGGAATCCTGGCTACTCCCTTAATTGGACCCCTACTGATGTTTTTCCAAGCTCTCATATTAGGACCATGTTTACTTAATGTTCTAATAAAATTTGTTTCCTCTGATTTAAAGTCCACAAGCTTCAGATGGTGATGCAAATGGAACCCCCCTATCACAGTCCTCATGACTTTTGCCATGAGCCACCTGATAGACAAGTCAGAGAGTGAACCCAGACTGCCCTTCCCAGCCACCCCCATTGCCAGCAGGAAGCAGCTTGAGTGGACTTTGTCCTTCTACATTACGGCAGACAGCATTACCTCTTCTGAGGGGACATTGAGGCAGTTGTCAGTCCGAGACTGGCATCTAGAACTCAAGGCCCCAGACACAGGCAGATAGAATGCAGGGTGAGATAGAACTCAGGGTCCCAGTAAGGCACAGGTAGAAGGGACCTAGGGTCAAGTCTTCTCAGTAAACAAGAAGTCTCATCCTGGACATTTGGGAAAAACAGTCTGAGAAACCAGGTGAGTTTTTCTTTCCCTTGATGCTAGCTCAGCCACAGCAGGAGTCCCCAGCAACAACTCCCAGCCACTTGCATGGTTTCTCCAGTTTTGGGCTTATAAACCCTGGACACTGCAGCTCCACGGTGTCCTCCCTTGGACCCCCTCCTGGTAAGCAGGAGCTTTCCTTTCTTCTTTCACTCTTTTATTAAACTATGCTGGTGGCTCCATTCTCCTGTCAGCTGGCTTCATTCTTTGTCACCTCTAAGACACGGTCCTGGGAAAAGGAGCTTCTCAGTCAGTATAATTGCTATATGCTTTCTATCTTGTTTTTTTCAAAAATTCATCATGATACTTGTCTCCTATCTCTGCCCTCCATCAAAACGACAAGGGAAACAATTTTCAGGAATATGGAAAGAACCCAAATTTGATTGACAATTGTTTGCTGGTCCGCACAATAACTATGAGGGGGCACAAAGAGGAATTTTAACAGGCTTAGCCACATCCCTCCCTGTCTCCCACACCTAGTTTACATTAGAATATAGCATGTGAGGTGCTGGCTCTCTTCCCGGAGCATGTCCTCTGTCTATATTCTTTTTGTGTGGTTGGAGGAGGGTGGGAGGTTAAAGTTTTTCTGAGTATTTTGGGTCTCGATTGTTCTCTTGGGCCTGGATTGTTCTCAACTCTGAAATCATCTGCGGTTCACAGTGAGTGGCACATATTGGAGCCGCCTGCCCTTGGTCCCTACACCATGCATCCAGGAGGACCTAAGTAAGAGACCTTGTTTTTCAGTTTCCTGCTAGTGGTTCCTCATATTCATCTTACAATCATAAAAAGAACCACCAGGGCTGGTCCAGCCATACATTGGCTCAGGTAGGTAAATGTGGAAGTTTCTCAAAAGGACTGTGGGCTCAGCTGAGTTTTAGCATCATTATGGACAGACTGAGATCACAGAAACATACATTCATTGAAACGTTGGTAAAGTATGCTTTGAAGGGGGCAAGGGATTTTGAAGTGCTTGTTTCAATACAGCTACTATGACTTACTCCTTGTTACCTAAAATCCTTTTAAGTATGTCAAGAGATCTATCTATATTTTAGGTCTTCTTTTTCAAATGTTTAAGTAATTTGTAAAACTAACATCTAAACCTAAACCATAAACCTTACCTTATTGACATGATTGTCTGTTTAAAATTGCAAAACATAAAAAGACTTTTCTGAACTGTTGGGCATTGATGCATCAGGACATGACTAGGAAACTTCTAACCACTAAACTTGCATTTCAATACCTCTCATTGTAATACTTCTCAGCTAGTTTACCCATTACAAAATCTAATGCTGTTATTTGTAAATTTTACAGTTTTGGTATTAATATATTGTCCACATTTGCCACACCTCATGTTTCTGTATATTGAATCACTTCTTCTAATGATCTTCCAATCATACATCCCCCTTTCGTGGAAAAAGGATTTGGCTGTTGTGACTATTTATGAATTTGTAATGGAGACTAATATAAAAAGGCCAAGTGGAAAGACCACAAATGAATAATATAGGGTTCCAGAGTGAGTAGCCCCCAAGATGTGTCACTTTGGCATGCAGATTATTTTGAGCTGAAAACCATCAAGGCCCAATATACTGAAGAAGATACTTTGACTTGCACATCCAACCTCACAACTGCACAAAATGGATGTGGATAGAGGAACTGTTCCTGAGGACAGGTACCACTGCAGACAGCTGTAGTATAATGTGAACTAGGGGTAATAGGCAGGAAGGAAGGTGACAAAGTTATTGATTAAAATTTCCCTCTATGTGCCATTGTTTCTATGTGGCCAGTAAATTTTCTTTTTAATCAAGTACTTACTGTTTCATATTACTATAAATCACTTCCCATTTCCTTTGAATCCTCAGACTCCTGACTCCTTCTCCTTGGTTCAGGATGACACGTATACCACATTCTCTCTGAATATCTTTGAACCCGTGTATATAGCTTACCCGTATATATGTAACTAAACTGATTTTTTTCTCCCCTTAATTCGTCTCATATCAGTTTGGTTCTTAGAGCAGCCAGAAGAACCTTGAAGGGTAGAAGAAATTTCTTCCTCCCTAACAATATCAAGCGCTGACAGAGACCTCATTATGTGTGAGGTACTTTTCTGAGCACTTTGCAGATATTAAATCATATAACCCATACAATAACTCTAGGAAGTACAGAATTGTGACCATATCCCATTAGAAAAAGCTAAAAGTATTTAATGCCTGGGTATAACTGAATAAGTAAATCATACAATATTACAGAACACTGGAAACTATAGATTGTCTTTTGTCAGCATCTCAAACAATCTCATTGCCTCTTTTAGACACAAACACAGTCACATGCGCACATACATACACATATGTGCATCATGCATGAGCAGATGAAGAAAGACTTCTTAAATGTTGTACAATATTCACTAATAAAACATTTATTAACTGCGGATATTTTAACTGGATATATAATTATAGGTTGACATAAGACAATGATTTATGACATATTATTGCGGCCAAGAGACCAGTAATGAATCTTCTTCATCTATTTATAAACTATCTTTCATCTGTTTTTAAGGATTTTTCTTTATCATTTGTTTTCAAACTTTGATTGTGATGTATTTTTATGTAACTTCCTATCTATTTATCTTACATAGAATTATTGTAGTTTCTCATATTTTGGAGAGTATAATTATTATTTTAAATAAATTTCAGTGTAAATGAATTAAATTCTCCCAAAGCAGATATTGGCAGAATGGATTGTTTTTAAAAATCATAATCCACCTATATGCTGTCTGCAAGTGGCTTCCTTTGTTTACATTTGATTCAGAAAAAAACAACAAAAACAAGATTAAGAAGATACTTGCCCTTAAGAAAAAAAAACACAACAAAAACTTGATTAAACAAACCAATTACCAAAAAAAGGTAATTATGTCTATTAGAAATATTACTGTGACATTTGATTTTTCAGTTAATTAGAACAATATTCCACATTGAATATTAGATACCAAGTTTGCAGCAATTCTTAAAGAGCCTATGGAAAGCATTTTTTACCTCTTTGTTCCTTAAGCTGTAGATCAAGGGGTTAAGCATGGGGATCACCAACGTGTAAAACACAGAGGCCATTTTGTCAGTATCAAAGGAGTGAGTGGATTTGGGCTGCGTGTACATAAATAGTAGAGAACCGTAAAACACAACCACCACCATCACATGAGAACCACATGTGGAGAAAGCTTTTTTCCTGCCTTCTGCAGAATGTATTCGAAATATGGCTATTAAAATCAGTACGTAGGATGCTAAGATTACTAGGAGGGAAGACATCAAATTAAGTGCTGAAAATGCGATGATCAACAATTCTATTTCTTGTGCATTTGAGCAGAGCTTAAATAGTAAGGGAACATCGTCACAGTAGAAATGACTGATGACATTAGTGCCACAAAAAGTTAATGTAAAAATCTTGATAGTGAACAGTAGAGCCTGGAAGGTACCGCAGAGGTATGGAATGCCTACCAACACGTGGCAGAGTCTCTGGGACATGATGACATTGTAGAGCAGAGGGTGACAGATGGCCAAATAGCGGTCATAGGCCATAGCGGACAGGATGAAATATTCAGCGATAATGAACATCAGGAAGAAAGCCAACTGCGTGGCACATGCATAGTAGGAGATGGTATTCTGATCCACAATGAAATTTACCAGCATCTCGGGGCAAATGACAGTAGGATTACCAAGATCAATGAAAGCCAGGTGTTTGATGAAAAAATGCATAAGTGTGTGGAGGCGGGAGTCCACCTGGGTCAAGACGATCATGCCCAGGTTGCCCACCACCGCGACTGTGTAGATGATGAGGAAGACCCCAAAAAGTGGGGCCTGCAGCTCAGGCTGCCTTGTGACCCCCACCAAAATGAACTCAGTCAGCGATGTGAGGTTCTTTTGTTCCATTTGGTCCAGGAGCTCTTCTAGGAGGAGGCAGAGGAGTTGTTACTAGCTTTCCTGCAGTGCTGAGGCAGGTGTGGGTTTAGTCAGAGTAGGGTGAGAGCCTGTGAGGAAGCGAAACAGGACAGTTGCAGTTGGGGCAATGTAACAATGTACAAGGAAATTCCTACCGAAGCTCCATGTTAAACATTAAGCAAAGTTAGATTCGTTAAGATAAAAATACCAAATTAGGAATATAGGCCGTCTTCACGGGGATTGGTTATAACAAAGGACAGCATTCAGGCAAGAAGTAGTAAGAAACAGACAACTCAGTTTAACTTAATATATAAACCCCTAGGCTCAGCCCAGCCAGGGGACCTCTTGTCCCCTCCCAGCATGCTCCAGGAATTCTGTGTTTTTGCTTTCTCCCTAAATAAAAAGTCTCTCTGTCCTACTTGCCTACCTTGAGCGTTAGTGATGTTCATTCTTTGACTTCGCGACCAAGAGCCCAGGCATCATCTTTTGGAAGCTCGTCCTGGCTGTCTCCACGCTCTCAGCCACTGAGAGAGCAGCTGCCATTCCCTACTACTCTCGCTTTAATGAGTGCCTCCCATACCTGTACTCATCCCACCTGTGTGAGAATTCTTTCTTGTCCAGAGTCAAGAACCCTCCCCCATCCAGGTTGAGGATTCACCTGGTGTGCAGGTAGAGACCTTCCCAGTCACGGTTGCCCAGCAACACTGCCTGCTAACCAACTGTATTTGCAGATAGAATGGACATTTTTCTATGTAATAGGGAATAGAAGCATAATTCCCACATCTGATTTGGAAACTAAAATAAATGATAGAGTCTTTTACTCCCCTAGATGAGGGATCCATAGGAAGCATACGTACTATATGCATGTAAACTCCAAATAGTGTCGGTAATATTTGGAACAAATACATAGACAGCATTCAGGCAAGAAGTAGTAAGAAAAAGACAACTCAGTTTAACTTAAGATATAAACCCCTTGGCTCAGCCCAGGCAGGGACCTCTTGTCCCCTCCCAGCATGCTCCAGGAGTTCCATGGATTTAAAAAAATCCATACAGGTACTAATATAGAATTATTAGATCGTGTTTTCTTTACACAGTGGTATCACAATTCCTCTTTAGTATGCTCTGTTTTTGTCTGAGAATTCTGTGGAATTTTGATATTTTACAAAGAGAGGCAGAAATAATATGGACCATAATGTTTTTCATTATTTTAATTGTAATCCCATTGTTGTGTTAAGAATATGAAACATGAGATTTACCCCATTAGATTTTTAAGTGTGCATCACAGTGTGGTTAACTCTAGACAAGGTGTTGTACAGCAGATCACGAGATCTTATTCATCTTGCATAAGTGAAACTTCACACCTTTTGATTAGCAGTTCTTACATGATTCAACATCCAACATCTGGGTATTTATCAAAAAGAATTGCTGCTATCATCTTATAGAGATATTAATTCCCTGCCCAAGCTTATTTGGAAAAGGATATTTCTGAGCAGTTTTGAGCATCCTGATTTACATTTTAAATACTTCCATTTAGGACTAACCACCAAAGAAGACAGGATAAAAAAAGTATGCAAAGGGATGACTGACTTTTTAATCTTAAGGCATGGTGATAAAAGTTAGGAATATTTTGAGGTTCAGAACTTTCTCTGTAATACTTGAAAATAATTTCATTTATTTGTTAATCTACTCAATCAGTTTGTAAAGCCTATTGTGGAAAAACAACCAAGTAGTAAACAACCCAAAAGGGAAAACAAACTCCTCAAACATCTAAACGCTCATGTGTAGTCTTTATATTAAAATGATTTGCAGTTTATAACATATTGCTTGGGGAATACATATCTTAAAATATTCTTTATCCAATATTGCATTGGATATGTTTATATAAAATAATGTACATCAAGTATTACATAGGACATTTACTAAGAATGGTTTGTTTATCTGAAATTCAAAAGTAATGGGATGTCCTGTGTTTCATCTGGAAATTCTAACTTTAATTAATAGCTTCTATTAAATGAAATCAGTGATGATGTTTCCAGTTATCTCAAGTTTCCCCTTCAGTTGTAATACTCAAATTCCACTACACCTCTCACAGATCAAGTGGGTCTATGAAATCTAGTCATAGAATAGTCATAATCTAATGCTCTAAAAATACCATACTACTCCAGAGAACTCCAGTTAACAAAGGAGATAATGTCTGTTTGTGGTGTTGAGAAAGAATCAACTGTCAGTGACCATAACAGTGTCCATGGTCAGAAGCTCAGAATCATAGTAAATGACCAACACCCAGATGATGATGAGATCAACAATTCCCATCCACTCACCTTTAATGAGGAACTGGATTTTCATCTCCTAACTTGCTCTTTTTCTATGAATGGAGAGAATTTATGCTTTTCCTCCCGTTTGTGATGCTCCCTGAAGAGGAGGAAGATGTCCAAATCACCTGAGAGAATTTTTTAATGTCTTGTGGTGCCTGCTAATTATCCAAGACACCCTATATATTCTCTAGTGAGAAAGTATAAGGGTCAATTCAAGCAAAGGAGCAAAACAACATGACTGATACATACAGTTCCATGGAGACCTGCATTATATAAAGATACTCTCACAGAATCAATGATAAAGTAACCATGGAAAACACTTTTACAGAACGTTATCCCAGTGAAACTGTACAGTTTCAAAAGTAACGAAAAAACTAGAAATGACCTTATCATCATTACACAGAATTTTTTCTTTGAATTTATTATTCTTATTATTTATTATTAATCGAACTTAACTATCAGTTAAGTTTTGGGGAGTCAAACTCAGACACACATCTACTGTGTGGGAGTCAGTGCCCTGAGCCCTGCATTGCTCAAGCTGTAATTGAACTTCTAACTTATATTGGGAAATCTTCTTTCATTAGGACTGCACTGAAAACTGTGGATAACAGATAATATTTCCTTGAGAAATGTTATTCAATTGGTGTTCTAAAAAGATGATTCAGAGAGTTAGACGGCAGCTCTAAGTAATTCAACTTCTGCAGTTAAGAAAGTCTTCCATAAGCTGTGTGTGCATATAATGGCTGCTGGTCACANAAAAATAAATATACAATTTATTTATTTGGGACCTCGCATAATTTATGAAATCTTCTACTGCTCTATTTGAGCAAGGTGGTGCTCCAAGGATTCCACAGAGGATCTCTTTCCATGGGGCTCATAAATAGGCATCAGAAAAGGCCAGAGAGACTCATGCACTTTAAAGGGTATCATGTATCCTCTTTGGAAGTCAGGCCCTCACCTCATAATCTCTGCCTGTTGTCTGGTTATCGTACTGTTTTTGTAATTTAACTGCATAGTTAATAGTGCATAGTTAATTGCATAGCTGATTTGAAATCTTGTCTTTTACTCCTTTTATATCTAAAAATGAAGAGTCCAGAAGAGGGCTTAAATTTTATTTTGTAAATTCCTTTTACTTGCTGTCAGTGTCACTCTTGGTAGCATCATATCCCTACAGATGCACGCACTTTGGAGACAGACTTAAATTTTTGAGAGCACTTTTTTTTTTTGCATACTTCCTTATGGGATAGAATCAAAGCTAGCACAAAAATAAATAAATAAATAAAATTAAGAGACAATCTGGTCAAGCGTCTTCTATGAGAAATGAGAAGACTCAGGTTCAACAAAATAGTGAATGATCCAAGATACAAGTCTATAAATCTTTCTATCTGCTTTTACTGAATACCAGATTCTCCTCAGTCTATTCTAATGCCTTTAACTTTTCCATCACAGATTTCAGGATAAAGATTAACAAATGGCTGAAGAGAATTTTACGGTTGTTACTGCATTTATTCTTTTGGGGCTGACAGACTGCGCTGAACAGAAAGTAATGCTTTTTGTGTTGTTCCTGGGGATCTAAGCCATCACCCTGGTGGGGAATCTGGGCATGATCTTCATAATTCGAATCACATCCAAGCTCCACACACCCATGTACTTTTTCCTCAGCTGCCTGTCATTTGTAGATGCCTGCTACTCATCTGCAATCGCACCCAAAATGCTAATCAACCTCCTGGTTGTGAGGGGAACCATTTCTTTCTCTGCTTGCATGGTACAACATTTGTGTTTCGGGGTGTTTGTTACCACAGAAGGCTTCTTGCTGTCGGTGATGGCATATGACCGGTACATGGCCATTGTGAACCCTCTGCTTTACACGGCAGCCATGTCTAAGAGGAAGTGTGTAGGGCTGGTTGCTGGGTCATGGATATGTGGAACAATTAACTCACTGATACACACAGTAAGCTTAGGCAGACTGTCCTTTTGTAGGCTGAATATTGTCCGCCACTTCTTCTGTGATATTCCCTCGCTCCTAAAGCTGTCATGTTCGGATACCTCCGTCAATGAGCTGTTGCTCTTAGTCTTCTCTGGAGTCATTGCCATGGCCACCTTTTTGATTGTGATCATTTCGTATGTGTTCATTGTGCTCGCCATTCTGAGGATCCGCTCCGCAGAAGGGAGACTGAAAGCCTTCTCCACCTGTGCCTCTCACCTGACGGCAGTGACCATATTCTACGGCACCTTAAGTTTTAGTTACATCCAGCCGAGCTCCCAGTATTCTGTAGAACAGGAGAAGGTGGTTGCTGTGTTCTATACGCTAGTGATTCCCATGCTGAACCCGCTGATTTACAGTCTGAGGAACAGAGAGGTGAAGGATGCTGTGAAAAGGGCCATAGAAACAAAACAACTCTCCTGTTAATCTCAAGACCTTGTCACTTCTACAATATTCTACCCGTCAGTTCTTCACTTAGTAGCATTCACATGAATTCAATGAATTTTAGAGTTT